AACAAAACTGTCGGCTGCTCACTGCAGCAGAGAATGGCTGCTGCTGCTGCTGCTGTTGCTGCTGCTGCTGCTGCTGTCTTCTTTTTTCTTCTTTATATAAAATAAATAAATAAATTTAATTTTAAATATTTTATTTTATTTTATATATATTATTAACATTTTCTGCTAAACTTCTCCTGCTGCAGCAAACAACTCGTGCTGCTGTTGCTGCTGCTGTTGCTGCTGCTGCTGCTGCTGCTGCTGCCAACAGAGGCCTCTCTTACGGCCTCTCCTCCAAGGAGAAAAAAATACAAAAAATTGCAGCAAAAAGTCATTAAAGTATAAATATAAAATACCAATTCCTTGTCTGCAGCAGCAGGAGCAGCAACAGCAGCAGCAGCAGCAGCAGCAGCAGCAGAGCCAGCGGCAGCCGTATAGCGGCAGGAGCAGCAGCAGCTGCTGCTGCCTCTCATCAACGACTGCAGCACACACAACTCACAGCAGCTACCAGCATATGGAGACTGTAGAGGAGCCGCAGCAGCAGCAGTTGCTGCTGCAGCAGCAGCAACAGCAGCAGCAGCAAGTAACGCAAACTGCCGCTGCCGACGTTGCGGAAGATTTGGACGCAACAGCTACAGCAGCTGCAGAAGCAGCAGCAACAACAGCAGCAGCAACAACAACAACAGCAGCAGCAGCTGCAACAGCAACTGCAGCAGCAACAACAGCAGCACCGAGTCCAACTGCAGCAGAAGAGGAAGCAAAGACCACTCACCAACAAGCTGCAGCAGCAGACCCCCCTAGCAGCAAGCCAGCAGCAGCAGCAAAAACAGCAGCAGCAGCAGCAGATGCAGCAGCAGCTCTCCGTGAATTAAGTGAGGAAGCTTTACATGATACATACGTACGCATGCGTCGTGCTGCTGCTGCACTGCAGCAGGAGCTGCAGGAGCAGCAGCAGCTGCTGCTGCAGCACGTACGTCATCGCCGCGCTCTTGACGCCGAGCTAGCCGAGCTAAGACTTCAATGCAGCAACAGCAGCAGCAGCAGCAGCACAACAGCAGCAGGAGCAGCAGGAGCAGCAGCAAAAGGTGCAGCACAAGGAGACAGTTTATTGGTAGATATATTCCGTCGTTATAAGCAACCAGCGCAGCAGCTAGGTGAATCTTTGCGCAGCAGCATGCAGCAGCTGCAGCAGATAGTGCAACAGGAGCTGCAGCAGCTGCAGCAGCAGCAGCAAAAGGCGGAGGCAGCAAGAAGAGCAGCACTAAGACAAAAGGCGATGCAAAGACACCAAGAAAGATTGGAGCATCAAGAGATACAAAGATTAAAAAAATACCATTTGCTGCTGCAGCAGCAGCAGCAACAGCAGCAGCAGCAGCAACACCAGCAGCAGCAACAGCAACAACAACACCTGCAACACCAAATGGCGCAACAAGTGCACCCCTACCCACAGCAGCAGCTGCAGCAACAGCAGCAGCAACTGCAGCAGCAGCAGCAGGTGCGACTGCAGCCCCATCCCATGCATGTCAAGCAGCAGCAGTTACTGCAACAGCAGCAGCAGCAGCAGCAGCTTCTGCTGATCCAGCGGAAACAGCAGCAACGGCTTGCTGCTGTGGCGCAAAGAAGGAATCAGCAGCAGCAGCAGCAGCAGCGAGGCAGCAACTCCTTTATGGCTCGGCTGCAGCGCCTATTTAGCGATACAACGCCTCCTGCATCTGCAGCAGCAGCAACTGCAGCTGCTGCTAATGCTGCTGCTCCTCCTCCTACACCAGCAGCAGCAACAGCAACAGCAACAACAATCAACAAAGACTTCATCGATTCCTGTAAGCAGCAGCAACAGCAACAGCAGCAGCAGCAACAGCAGCAGCAGCAACAGCAGCAGCAGCAGCAGCAGCAGCAGCAGCAGTATCCTCCTCCCGTTCAAATGTTTCGTATTTGTTCAGACGGCGAGGCAAGTCCTTCTGCATGCAGCAGCAGCAGCGACAGCAGCAGCAGCAGCAACAGCAGCAGCAGCAGCAGCAGCAGCACTTTATTAAAGAAAGGAGCAGCAGAGGAGACAGATAATTCCTTCTTCTGTCCCTCCCAAGAAAATGACTGCATGCAAGGAACTCGTCTCCTTCCTGCTGCTGCTGCTGCTGAATCTGCTGCTGCTGCTGCTGCAGCAGCAGCAGCAGCACCTGTTGCAGCAGCTGCTGTTCTTGCTGCATGTGAGGGTTCGTTAGAAGCGGGAGAAAACAGCGAAGACTTTGCTGCTGCTGCCGCTGCCACATCTGCTGCTGCTGCTGCTGAATCTGCTGCTGCTGCTGGTGGTGCTGCTGCTGGTTGCAGCGAGGATTGTATAATAATATCTGTTATTATAGACATTGGTCCCCTCAGCAGCAATTTGCTGCTGCGTGCAACGCAGCGCTGCAGCGATGCTGCTGCTGCATGGGTAGAGGAGAATTGGTTGGCGCTGCAGCAATACAGCAGCAGCAGCAGCAGCAACAACAACAACAACAGCAGCAGCAGCAAGGTGTCTCCTAAT